ATGTCCTGTAGTTTTCTGCAAATAGGTCCTTTACTTCTTTGGTTAAGTTTATTCCTAGATATCTTCATTTTTTTTTGCCACAATGTTAAATGGGATTGTTTTTTAAGTTTCTTTTTCTGTGCCTTCATCAATGTTGTATTAGAATGCCATCAATTACTTGACGTTAATTTTGTATCCTGCTACTTTGCCAAATTCAGTTATTAAGTCCAGTAGATTTAGGATGGAGTCTTTAGGGTTTTCTATGTATAATATCATGTCATCTGTGAATAATGACAGTTTCACTTCCTCTTTTCCAATTTGGATCCTTTTATTTATTTTTTAATGTCTGATTGCTGTGGCTAAGACTTCCAGTACTATGTTAAATAAGAGTGGTGAAAGTGGGCATCCTTGTCTTGTTCCTGTTCTTAAGGGAAACACTTTTAGTTTTTGCCCATTGAGTATGATGTTGGCTATAGGTCTTTCATATATGGCCTTTATTTCATGTCGAGATATGATCCCTCTGTTCCCACATTGCTGAGCATTTTTATCAGAAATGGGTGCTAGATTTTGTCAAATACTTTTTCAGCATCTATTGATATGATCATATAATTTTTATCTTTCATTTTGTTTATGTGGTGTACATATTTATTGATTTGTGAATATTGTACCAGCCTTGCATCCCTGGGATGAATCCTACTTGGTCATGGTGAATAAATTTTGATGTATTGCTGGATTCAATTTGCTGGTATTTTGTTCAGGATTTTGGCATCTATGTTCATCAGGGATATTGGCCAGTAGTTTTCTTTCTTTGTAGTATCTTTTTCTGGTTTTGGAATTAGAATTATGTTGGCCTCATAAAATGAGTTTGGAAGTCTTCCTTCTTCTTGAATTTTTTGGAATAGTTTGAGGAGAATGGGTGTTAGTTCTTCTTTGAATGGTCAGTAAAACTCCCCTGTGAAGCCATCTGGGCCTGGGCTTTTGTTTGCTGGGAGAGTCTTGATTACATCTTCAATTTCCTTCATTGTTATTGGTTTGTTCAAGTTTTCTATCTCTTTCCAGTTCAGTTTGGGGAGACTGTATGTTTCTAGAAATTTGTCCATTTTGCTTAGATTGTTGAATTTGTTGCCATATAATTATTCATAGTATTTGTTAACGATCCTTTGTATTTCTGTGGTGTCAGTTATTATTTCTCCTCTTTCATTTCTGATTTTGTGTATTTGGGTTCTCTCTCTTTGTTTCTTGGTGAGTCTAGCTAAGAGTCCATCAATCTTGTTTATCTTTTCGAAAAACCAGCTTTGTTTCATTGATCCTTTGAATTGTTTTTCTGGTCTCTATGTCATTTATTTTTGCTCTGATCTTCACTATTTCCTTCCTTCTACTTGCTCTGGGGTTTTCTTTTTGTTTGCTCTCTAGTTCTTTAAGTTTTGAGGTTAGGTAGTCAATTAGAAATATTTCTTGTTTCTTGAGGTACGCCTGTAGTGCCAGGAACTTCCCTCTCAGAACTGCTTTTGCTGCATCCCATAGATTTTGTGTTGTTGTATCTTCATTTTCATTGGTTTTCAAGAAGTTTTTAATTTCTTCCTGGATCTCCATGGTAACCCCATTGTTTAATAACATGCTATTTACCTCCATGTTTTCAAATGTCTTTGCATGTTCTTGTTGCAATTGATTTCTAGTTTCATGGCACTGTGATCTGAGAAGATGCTTGATATGATTTCAATTCTTGAACTTGTAGAGACTTAGTTTGTGCCCTAACGTGGTCTATCTTTTAGAATTTCCCATGTGCACTTGAGAAGAATGTGAATTTTGCAATTTTGGGGTATAATTCTCTGTAGATATTTATTAAATCCATTGTATCCAATGCTTCATTTACAGTCTCTGTTTCCTTAATTTTTTGTCTGGATGATTTATCCAGTGATGTCAGTGTGGTGTTGAGGTCCCCTGCTGTGATTGTCAACTTGTCCTTTAAAGTCCTCCGAAAAAATTTTAATATATTTTGTTTCTCTTCTATTGGGTGCATATATGTTTACCAAGGTTGTATCTTCCTGTTGAACAGATCCTTTCAATATTATGTAGTGGCCTTCTTTGTCTCTAGTTATGGTCTTCATTTTGAAATCTAATTTATCAGTTATGAGTATTGCTACCCCAGCTTTTTTTCTTTCTGTTTGGAATATTTTTTTCCATCCCTTCATTTTCAACTTATGTGAGTCTTTTGTTGTGAGATGGGTCTCTTGTAAACAACATATATGTGAGTCATGCTTTCTTATCTAGTCAGCTAGTCTGTGTCTTTTTATGGGAGCATTCAATCCATTTACATTTAAGGTGATTATTGATATGTACTTATTTATTGCCATTTTTGTTTAGTGTGGTTTTTCTTCCTATTTCTTCTACTAATTACTGCAGTCCTTTTAACATTTCTTTCAGTGCTGGTTTAGTGCTAATATATTTCCTTAGCCTTTTTTTTTTTTTTGTCTGGTAAGCTCTTTATTTGACTTATTTTAAATGATAGCCTTGCTGGATAGAGTAGTCTTAAATTCAGATCCTTGTTTTTCATGACCTTGATTACTTTATGCCATTCCCTTCTGGCCTGTAGTGTTTCTGTTGAGAAGTCAGCTGAGAGCCTTATGGGGGTTCCTTTGTGGGTAACCTGTTGTTTATCTCTTGTTGCCTTTAGGATGCTCTCTTTGTCTTTAATTTTTGGCATTTTAATTACTATTTTACTTGGTGTGGGCCTGTTTGAGTTCTTCTTACTTGGGGCTCTCTGTACTTTTTGAACTTGAATGCCTTTTTCCTTCATCAAGTTAGGAAAGTTTTCTATCACTATTTCCTCAAATATATTCTCTAACCCTTGCTCATGTTCTTCTCTTTGGGGACTCCTATGATGTGACTGTTATTACATTTCCAGTTGTCCCACAATTCTTTTAAGCTATCTTCCTGTTTTTTAATTCTTTTTTTCTTTCTGGTTTTCTGCTTGGTTGATTTTTTTCTATCCCATCTTCTAATTCACTGGTCCGGTCCTCAGCTTCCTCTACTCTGTTGGTTAGTCCTTTCAATGTGTTCTTTATTTCTGCTATGTCTTTCTTCATTTCCACTTGGTTGGTTTTTAATGTTTCTATATCTTTACTCATGGTGTTGATGTCCTTACTCATGCTGTTGAGCTTCCTCAAGATCATGGCTCTGAACTCTACCTCTGATAACTTGCTTAACTACATTTCATTTATCTCATCTTCAATAGAGTTTTCTTGTTCTTTCATTTGAGATTTGTTTCTTTGTTTCACCATTTTGGCTATCTCAGTGGGTTTTGGAACCTGCCAAATTTTCCCTTGCGGGTGTTGGTGTTCTGCTGTTTGTGGCTCCCTCTCCTGGGTTTGGATGAGCCTGGGTGTGCCCACGTTAAATACCCCTGTCAAGTCTTACTTTCCTCGGTACATCTGAAAGCCCACGAAAGGTTCAGTTATCCTCTAGCTTTTTGCCTGGAGCCTAGTAGTCTCAGTTACTCAGGGCCTTGGAAAGTAGCCCTGGTGTTGTTTTTAAGAGGATTCCCAGAGGGTAGGACAGATGCTGGTTGTTAATGAGCCTCAATTTGCATTTCTTTGCCTCACCTCAAAGGGGCTGAATTTCTGAGGGAAGGGCTGCTGCTTTTCCCCACAGCTCTGGGAAGGAGCAAGCTGGCCACTGTCCTTTGTGGCCGTGACTCAGCAGAAACACCGAGTGCCCTCCAAATCCTGGGTGTCCCCACAGAGTTCCAGTCCAGTCCGCCTCCCTCTGCTGGAGCCCCAGGTGAGTGGCTGTAGCTAATTCAGTGCTTTGTTCTGGCTCTCTGCGCTGTGCAGCGGGCTTGGTATTTTATCCCTGAGGGCGCTGTTCACAGCTAAGACCGCTGCTGTCTTGGGTTCCCAGCCCGCCACCCTCTTGCGCCTCCATAGATCCTACCAGTGTCCCTGGTTATATGGTCCTGTCCTGCTGCTTTTCTGTTCCTTTTTTTGGATGATTTGTCTTTATTTTAGTTGTAATTCTCGTTTGATCCTTGAAGATTGTTAGTGTAGCTTTCATTCACTCTGCTGCCACTCTTTCTCTCTCTCATAGTACATATCTAATTAGTGACTTTCAAATTAAGGTCGTAGAAATTATTTCTGGACCCAAATTATGGAATTATTTATTTTTCCTGAGTTAACTTAAGAAAACCATAATCATAATCTAAAAATAAATTCTGTGATGAGTGCAGTTGGGTTACATATGCACGTGCTGACTAAAATATGGTTAGAGAAACAACTTTAGATGGAGAGTAGAAGCGAATCTGTTTGCCTGTCAATTTTAATGTACTGAGCCCACTAAACTTAATAGCGGGGAACTAAAGCCACTTGTTTTCTTTATGAGTTTACAGATTGTTCTCCATCTTTTGAGCTCAATCTAATCTTTCTGGTCTTGGTAGAAAACTAACTTGAAACATTAGAGTCACTGTTATTCCTGGAATGTTAAACTGTACTATACATGGCCATTATTGATTGACACAAATTAATTAGACATGTAACACTGAGAAATATTTATTGCTATCTTGTTTCTATAAACCAAGGAACATATCGACAATATCCCCAAATGATAAAAACTGCTTATCCTACCCTTGAAATTGTATATAATACACCCAAAAGAAATCTATACTATCTTACTGAGCACCAACAGTGTTGCAGTTAAAAACATCTTATGATCATAACCTTGACTTTGTATTAATGTATTTTCACTACTGTGTATGGACATGAACTTGAGGCAACTTAAAAATGGCAGAACAAACCTCGAGTTTCTATGTCTCATAGTTCCTGTTGCAGCAAGCACCCCACCATGCTTCGGCCACAAGATTTCTAACACATACAAACATATTTATCTGCTTTCCTAAGGCAACATTTTCCAAAGTTCTCCCAAATGTTTCTACTAACACAAAACCACTAGATGCCTTGAAGTTCTCAAATGACACATTTCTGTTTACAAAAATAGTTTTAAGAGATAGAAAACCATCGTGTACTTACCCAGGAGACATTTTTCCCCTTAGGTGTTTTTTGCATGGCAACATGCAGCACCGAGGTGGCCAACAACAGTTGCACCAACATGGAAAGTCCAGTGGAATAGATTCCAAATGTCCTTGTTACCCAAACGCAAAAAGTTCCCTGGTTTGCCAGGCACAGACATCATAAGTGACAATGAAGATAACCTTCAGGTAACCCAGTTTTCTTCTCAGTACTAAGCCTGTAAACACACGCATGATCACTCAGTATGTGGAGGCAGAAGCTTCAGCATGTGTATCTTTTCTAAGTCCATAAAATCCAAAGTGGAGTAGTTCTTTACAAAACACAACTTGAATCCATGTGGAGACATCCAAACGCGCAGAGGGATTCCTCTCTCCGTTGCTACACTGCCATTCCCAATTACTCCCCAAGCTTTAATAAAAAGCTGGGTAGCGATAGCTTACAATTACTTAGTAAGAAAAAAAAAGTGAAAGCAAGTGGCATTTAGGAGCCTTGTAGGTTAGCTGCTGCTGGCATCCATTTTAGGAGGCGCCCGACTCCAAGGCTGCCCAGAGGATAAAGAGAATGCGGAGCTCAGTTTCAATAAATAATACATAGTCTCAGGTACAATGTGTACCTGGAGGTACCTCCTGCACAGCCTCACACCGCAGGTATAGCTCTCTCCGCAGACCCGGGGACTCACGGTGCACCTGTTGATGGAACTGCTCCGTGAAAGGCTGGTCTCCTAACAACCGGTCGCATTTGTTTGTAAGATAAGAAAAACAGACGCCCCAGAGGGGACAGCATTAGATGTCCCAGATGGAAGAGCAAGGCTGGAAATCAGAGTTGGCTCTCTTCCCTTTGTTTCTGTGTCCTTGCATCCCGTTTCTTTTACCTCCTGTCAATCTAGATTAACTAAGCAGATCCAGGCTAAATTCTGCTACTATCAGTAGTGATTAGTGTGAGTTGATGAAATCGGATTATACAGGCGGACTTGTGCCTTCTCCCTGGGCAAGCGACCCCGTGCGACTGGAAAGCCTGGTGTCCTTCTCTTCTCCAGGCTGAAGCTTTCCAGAGGGAACATGCCAAGCAAAGACATCCTGGCCACCTGAAGATGCTCATATACAAACAGGAAGGGGCAGGAATCATCTATGTAACTTTTTACTCTTTTTTCAAATTCCATTTTTTCAGATCTATAGTTTATTTACCACAAAAGAAATGCACACCATTTTTCCATTTTATTGATTTTTTCCTCTGTAAGGGTGCCCAATTTCAGCAAGAAATTGAGGACACGGGAGGCGACAGAGGAGCTGAGAACTGCCTGTCACTTTTGCTGAGCGTCTGTTACACACCAGACACGACATAGGGGGGTTATCTATGCTCAAGTTCACGCAACCCTGGAAGGAGGTGTTAATATCAATATATTCAAGAAGAGGAAATTGAGATTTAGAGATGTTCAATACATCTCAATGAAGATACATTGGCCCAAAGCAATGCCTTTTAGACTCCTCTCTCATTAAAGCCAAATGTCATCGTCAGGATATTTTCATCAAGTGTTGAAAATTCTCTGGAATTATGGTTCCTGCTTATTTTAAAAATAACAAAGTTGTAGGGCTCCTTATAAGAAACATTTTGGATTAAATTTCTGTAAAGTATAAAACATTAAAGGGGCTACACAATTGACCACAAAAATATCAGTGCTGCTGGCCAAGGGTCTAAATGGGTAATGATTTTGGCTATACATTCAGCAGATATAGTCAATAATAATAGCCAACATTAATTGAAATCCACTATGTGGTATTTTGCCTTTTTAACAATCTTACTTAGTCAGAAAACCATAATCTCATGAGGATGATTTCAAATGATTTTGGTAGAGGCAGTATTAATCAACATTAAAAATTTTAAAACTATGCTATTACAATTAAAATGACAGATATGAGCTGAATTTTCAACCAATTCAAAATCAGATAAAAAATTAAAATAGTCACAAAAGTCATAAATAGTCATAAAAAGAATTGGTAAAATGAAATGTTTTATTTACTGTATCCTGTGTGTCTGTGTACGTGTGTGTGTGTGTAAATCTTGTCTGCTTCATTATGCTATAAGCTCCTTAAGGACATGACTCATGTCTACTAAATTTTTTCTCTTTGGGGAATACAGTACCTACTCATGGTTGCTCAATAACTGTTGTTGACTAACTAGGTATAGTTTCATATAAATTTTAAAACAGTTCATTGAATATAATTTTCTGTTAAAATTTCTGCAATAATACTATTAAAAACAGATAAAGCAATAAGCATCTATGATTAAAACACTCAATAAAACAGGTATAGAAGGAAAGTATCTCAACATAAGAAAGGCCATATATGACACAGTCTCAGCTAATATCATACTCAGTGGAGAAAAACAGAGCTTTTCCTGTAAAATCAGGAACAAAATAGTGTCCACTCTCATCACTTTTATTCAATGTAGTACTGGAAGTCCTAGCCAGAGCAATCAGACGAGAGAAAGACATAAAAGGCACCCAAACTGGGGATGAAAAAGTAAAAATGTTACTTTTTGCAGATGACACGATTTTTTGTATAGAAAACCCTAAAGACTCCACCAAAAAACTATCAGAAACAGTAAACAAATATAGTAAAGTTGTAGGATACAAATATCAATGTACAAAAAAATCCATTGCATTCTCATATATTAACAATAAAATTTTAGAAAAGCAAAATTAAAATAAATTCCTTTTGCATTTGCAACAAAAGAAATAAAATACCTAGGAATAAACTTAACAAAGGATGTGAAGGACCTAAATAGTAAAAACTACAAAGCATTATTAAAAAAGATTGAAAAAGACACAATGAAATAGAAAGAATTCCATGTTCACTGACTAGAAGAATCAACAAAGATAAAATGTTCATGTTACCCAGAGCAACATATAGATTTAATGTAATCTCCATCAAAATTCCAATATCATTTTTTAAAGAAATAGAACAAAAATAATCATCAGATTTGTATGGAATCATAAAAGAGCCTGAATAACCAAAGCAATCCTGAGAGAGAGAAAACAAAGCTGGAGGTATCACATTACCTGAATTCAAATTATACTACAGAGCAATGATAATTAAAACAGAAAGGTATTGGCAGAAAAACAGCCAAACAGACTAATGGAACAGAATTGAGAGCACAGAAATAAAACCACATGTATATGGGCAAATAATTTTTGACAAAGGAGACCAAAACACACAATGGAGAAAAGAAAACCCTCTTTAATAAATGGTGCTAGGAAAACTGGAAAGCCACATGCAAAAGAATGAAACTAAACTATAGTTTGTCCCATGTACAAAAGTCAATTCAAAATAGGTCAAAGACCGAAATATAAGATCTGAAACAATAAATTACATAGAAGAAAACATAGGTACTAAACTTATGGACCTGGCTCTTAGAGAAGATTTTATGAATTTCACACCAAAGAGAAGGTAAACAAAGGCAAAAATAAATCAATGGGACTATAACTAAAAAATTTCTGCACAGCAAAAGAAATCACCAACAAAACAAAAAGGCAACCAACTGAATGGAAAAAGATATTTGCAAACAATAGTTCTGACAAGAGATTAATATCCAAAATATATAAATTGCTCATACAATCCAACACCAAACAAATAATCCAATTAGAAAGGAAGAAGTAAAATTCTCATTTTTTGCAGATGACATAATATTACATATAGAAAACCCTAAAGATTCCACCAAAAAAATTTAAAACTAATACATGACTACAATACATTTCAGGATATGAAACCAATGTATAAATCTGTTGTGTTTCTAAAAATTAATAACAAGAAATTAAGAAAATAACCTTATTCATAATTGTGTCAAAAGTATAAAATACCCAGGAATAAATTTAATGAAAGAGATAAAATACCTGTACTCTGCAAACTATAACACACTGAAGAAAAAATTGAACAAGATACAAATAAATGGGACAATATACTTTGCTCATGGATTGGAAAAATTAATATTGTTAAAACATCCTCAATACCTAAAGTAATATACAGATTCAATGAAATCAGAATTAGAACAAGTACTCCTAGAATGTATATGGAATCACAAAAGACCTTGAAGAACTACAGAAATCTTGAGAAAGAACAAACTGGAAAGTATCATGCTCCCTGATATCAAACTATACTACAAATCTACAATAATTGAAACAGTATGGTACTGCCCTGGCCAGGTGACTCAGTTGGTTGGAACATTGGCCCATACACCAAAAGTGTTGGGCTTGAATCCCTGTCAGGACACATACTTAGGTTGTGGGTTTGATCCCCAGTCAGGGTGTGTACAGCAGGCAACTGGTTGATGTTTCTCTCTCATATCAATGTTTCTCTTTCTCGCCTCCTCCTTCTCTCCCTCCCCCTCCTTATTTCTCTCTCTAAAAAACTAATAAAAAAATTTCAAGTATTTTTTTTTAAATTAAATGAAAATTACAAAAGAAATGTTAGATCTCAAACGATAAAACCCCTAGAAGAAAACATAGGCAGTAAACTCTTTGACATCACTCTTAGCAATATCTTTCTTTGATCTATGTCATCAAGCAAGGAAACAAAGAAAAAATAAACAAATGGAACTACATAAAACTAAAAAGTTTTTGCACAGCAATAAAAAAAAAAAAATCAACAAAATGATAAGACAACCTACTGAATGGGAAAAGATATTTGCAAATGATATATCTGATAAAGGGTTAATCACCTGGCTGGTGTAGCTCAGTAGTTGAGCATAGACCCATACACCAAGAGGTCACCAGTTCGATTCCTGGTCAGGGCACATGCCCAGGTTGTGAGCCAACTTCCCAGTGGGGACATGCAGGAGGTGGCCAATCAATGTTCTCTCCCATCAATGTTTCTATCTCTCTCACCCTCTCCTTTCCTCTCTCTCTAAAATCTTTTTAAGGGTTAATAACCAGAATATATAAAGAACTCATACAACTTAACACAAAAATCAAAGACTCCAGTGGAAAATAATGTGCAGAGCTCATTTGGTTTGGCTCAGTGCTTACAGCATCGGCCCATGGACCAGAGAGTCCCGGGTTCAGTTCCCACTAAGGGCATGTACCTCGGTTGTGGTGTGTCCACGGCCCAGGTTGGGGTTGTGTGGGTGGCAACTGGTTGATGTGTCTCTCTCCATATCAATGTTTCTCCCTCTCTCTCTTCCACCCTCTCTCCCTCCTGCTCCATCTGAAGATAAATGCAAAAATGTTCTCACATGAGGATTTAAAAAAAATGCTCAGAGGACCTGAATAGACATTTCTCCCAAGAGGACACACATATGGCCAACAGACATATGAAAAAATGCTCAACATTGCTAATCAGGGAAATGCAAATTAAAAACTCAATGAGATATTAACCTCACACCTATCAGAATAATTACCATGAAAAAATAACAAGTGCTGCTGAGGATGTGGAGAAAAGAGAACCCTTGGCAGTGTTGGTGGGATTGAAAATCAGTACAGCCATTATGGAAAACACTATGGAGATTCCTCAAAAAATTAAAAATAGCATGCCATTTTGATTATTACAGCTTTGTAGTATAGCTTGATATCAGGGTACATGATACTTTCCACTTCATTCTTTCTCAAGATTTCCTTGGCTCTTTGGGGTCTTCTGTGATTCCATATAAATTTTAATATTAATTGTTCTAATTTTGAGAAAAATGTCATTGATATTCTAATAGGGATTTCATTGAATCTGTATTTTTTTTTAGGCATTAAGGACATTTTAACAGTATTAATCCTTCCGATTTATTGACTTACTATCCAGCAATTCCACTTCTGAGTATTTATCCAAAGAAAACAAAAACTTTAATTTGAAAAGATATATGTACCCCTATGTTCATT